GCGCCGGGCCCGCCGCTCCCCGCCTCCCCCGCCGCGGCCGCCGCCGCCGGGATGCGCTTAAGTAACGGCGGCCGCTGCTCCGGGTGGCCGGCGGGAGCTCGGCGAGAGCCCCATCCCTGCGCCCCAGCCGCGCACCGCATCCCCGGCTCTGCATCCCATCCCCGCAGCCCATCCCGGCGCCCCATCCCCGCGCAGCTCCGGGCCCCTTTCCCCGCGCCGGGAGAGCCCCGGGAGAGGCGCGGGGAGCGCTCTCGGGAGCGGGACCCCGGGGCGGCGCGGGGAGCAGCGCGCTGTGCGCGGAGGCGGGCGGGGAGCCGGCCTGCGGGACCGGAGCTGTCCCTGCCGCATGTGGGGAGCGGGCTCCCCGGCAGCACGCCCCAAGTCAGGCAGCAGAGCCCTACGCCTCTCCCGTCACCATCCCTGGCATTAGAACCTCTGTTGGAGAAACGCTGCTTCTCGCTAACACTGCATCAAGCCAAGAAAAGTTGCTGAGGTTTTGGGTCCTGTGTCATCCCAARAGTGTTTCGGGAATGCTTTGAGAACCGGGAGTAGGAAAGGGAAACGGGGAGATACTGCAGGAAGAAGATAGGAAGGTGAAGACGTGCTTTTCTCCTCCCTTCCTCTATGTCTCCTTAATTTTTTTTTTCTCATTTTTCTACCTCCTCCACTTCCCGAGTTTACAATTAATAAAATATACTTAGAGCGGTCGTTCTGCTGTCTCTGAAGCCCCKACCCTTGGTGGTGGAGTCAACTCCTTCTCACCTTTGCCAGGATGCGCCGCTTCAGGRTCGCGGCCGCTTCAGCCGAGCGAGGGAGAGGGGGCCCCGCTCCCGGAGCRGCCGCAGGTTCCGTGCCGGCCCCATCCGTGCCCGGCGGCTTTGCCAGCGCGGCTCCCGAGCGCAGGGTGCCTGTCCCAGCTTCTCCCCTCTGCCTCTCGCAGTCAACAGGGAGAAAAGGGGCGTGAGGGGAGGGCGCAGCCACAGACAGACTCGTCTGGCAGTTTCCAGGGACATTCCGGCTTCAGGTAGAAAGAAGTTATTGGCAAAACTTACTTTTGCTCTGACACAGGCACAGCGAATGGCTGCTGTGGCTGTCGAGGTGACTGAAGCATGAAAGACTAATTTCCAGTCCTAGTGGGGATCCTGACTTCACAGACACRTCTTTAGCTGCTTTCTGAAGAGACCAAGCCTCCGTCCCAGTAGCTTGATCAGTATTTTTCATTAGAATTCTTGAATTTTTTTTTTTTTTTTCAGAATACCATTCGTTCAGAATGCATTTGCTAAAGTGCAGTTTACTCTGCTCTGTGTGGAAAGAAATGCTTATCACAATACCTCACTGAGGCACTCTAAGTAGCAGAAGGCAGCCAGAATGTTTGTCGGGAGTTAAATCAATAAATAAGGCAAGAGAACTCGCTTCTTMCATGCGAAATAAAATGCAAAGTAAGACACTCAAAACTCATTAAAGTGTGTGCAGGCAATAAAGGCTTATTAAGCATTTCACAGCAAGGACAGGGAAGTGGAGCAGCACAGTGAGGATCTGTTTGAAACACCCCTTTTTGGGCAGAAATGCCTGAGTTCACTGGACCCCTGAGCCCTGCTGAGGGAGGCAGGAGCTGTGTTAAGGGTGACAATTTCCTGCTTTCTTTTCCAGAGTGCAGGGAAATGCCTCCATTCCTGCATGGAAAGCATGTCTCACTCAGCTTCCAGCCTGGTGGATGAGCTGACCAGGGAGCAGTGGCTCATGGAGAACTGGCTGCTCCGAGCTGCTGCCCAGTTCGGGAGGGATTTCTGACAGGATCCCAGTTACAAAATCATGGACCTGACCTGCTCATGCATTCCCACAGAGGACACAGAGCAAATCCAACCTCGTGGAAACCATTAATTAGTCTGAAAAACACATAAAACCCTCAGAAATGCTCCAGGGTTGGCACTTGCAGTCTGCCCCACATCATCCATGTGCTCTGGATGTTGTGCTCCTCGGGTCAGAAAGGGGAAGGAGGGCTCTGTGTCTCAGGGATTGTCTGTGCCCCTCCAAAAGCCTGTACGCTCTGCCATGCTCTGTGAGCGAACAAGGAGAGGTAAACCCAGAAGATAAGCATATTCATGGAATCAATAATAAATTCCATCTCTATCTGTGAAGACACAGATTGTAAAAGCAGACCCAGCTTGTTCAGATTTGYTCAGTTAGAAAATTAAGTGACATCAAGCCTAACCTTTTAAAATATGAAAATCATCAAAATAGCGTTCTCATTACTTGCTAACATCCTGCCTCAGACTGTCCCTTTCCATAAGCTCCACAGCACATGGTTAATTCTTGCCTGGGTAAGTGCCAGGGAAGATTTAAATATGAAAGGGAATGTTGCTCATTCAGTAAGTAGGATTCTCTTACTCATTTATTATTGGCAGGAGATAAATCACAGGGAGGYTGAGGYTGGAAGGGACCTCTGGAGGTCATCAAGTCCAACTTCCCTTTAAAATACCCCATGCACTTGGGAAAAACCTTACACTGTCTCAAGTTCTGGTATTTTCTGGCAAATCAATGCCCTGCAGAGGAGCCTTTTGGAGTGTTCAGAGTGTGGTCCAGGCTCAGAGTCCCCTCCCGGGTGCTCACAGGCTCACGTGCTGTTTGAGCAGATGCAGTTCTGGTCCTTGAGTCTCCAGAGCTCCAGGGTGCTCTCAGGGATGCACGGGATGGGATTGGTGGGGTGGYTGTGCAGGGCCAGGAGCTGCWYTCRAGGATCCCTGAGGGTCCCTTCACATTCTCTGTCTGCCTGTTCTGCTCTGAGRGCCTGGCTCTTGCACTTGCTGCCTGACTCGGGTGGTTTCTCACAGTTTGCAGTTCTGTGCAGAAGCTGAGCACAAAATGTCACTGTTTCAAAGGTGGTTTGGTGTGGCTAATAATGCCACGGGTGAGCAAACTGCTGAAATGATTTTTTTTTCAAAGGAAGATAAGACCAGGAAAAAGCCTCTGATACATATTTTGCTATGTAAAATTAATTAGGTCAGTGTAATATAAAAAAAACAAGGATCCAGAAGTCATGCAGTGATTTGTGCTCAATCTTGACTCTGCCCTCCATCTCTCTCTTTTAAAATTCTCTTCGAAGCCACWTCTTTCTTGGTTGCACTTCTCTCTTAGCCTCCCTCCTGCCCCTTAATTCCCTCTCTTAATTCTTGGTTCTGCTTCTCTGTTTAGACACCAAGGAATTTCATCTTGCTATTCAAGTTTATCCTGTTAGAGTTTCTATGTAGGTCACAGAATCCYGGAATGGTTTGGGCTGAAAGGGACCTCAAAGCCCATCCAGTGCCACCCCTGCCATGGCAGGGACACCTCTCACTGTCCCAGGCTGCTCCCAGCCCCAATGTCCAGCCTGGCCTTGGGCACTGCCAGGGATCCAGGGGCAGCCACAGCTTCTCTGGGCACCCTGTGCCAGGGCCTGCCCACCCTCCCAGGGAACAATTCCTGCCCAATATCCAATCTAAATGTCTCCTCTGTTAGTTTTAGGTCACAGCTCTTTCCCCTCCTGTGTTTAACGTGTTTGTCCCCTGTCCCTGTGTCCCAAGGCAGGACAAACGTTCCTGATCTCATTCCYCATGCTCACCCYGCTCCCAGCAGTGCTGGTTCCTCTCCAGTGGAGCAGCTGAATCAAACCAGGAAAACCAACACCCYTGGGGGCCCATTTTCTGCACACTTGGGAGATTCCTGGGAGAAAGAAGGAAATAGGAACCCCACAGCTGACTGGGACCAGGCCCTATAGCCAAATACTGCCTGGGAGAGTGAGTCCTGCTCTGAGGTGTGGAACAAAGGAGAGAAAGGATGGTTATGAATACCTGCAGTGTTTCAGGAACTGGGGTGTTTCTGGCTTGCCTTTTTCCCCTCTCCTGGTGAAACTTCTAAGACCTCACTCTTTTTTCTCTTCACAATTTGATTTTTACTCACAGGCATGAAACTTCCTCATGCCTTTTCCTGCCACAAATCTTTTCCCTGATAATCTCTCATAAAATATGACTGTATCACACTTTTTCTCTTGGTTAAATGGAATGTGTTTAGATTTGATATATGTACCTCAGCCCCTTTTCTACAAAGGTAGGACACCTGACCCGCTGTCAGGTCAGCCCTGGGGGACCCAACCATGGTGCCTGTCTGGTTCTGATGGAGGCTGTTCTTACCCTGAGCAGCTCCTGAAGGATTTGAAATATCCCAAGCTAAGCATGATAAAAGTACAGACCATATTTTAAGGCATCTCCACAAAGGCAGTAGAAAGTTCAATTTTAATTTCACGAGTCGGATCCTGAGTGGACTGATCATTACTGTTTGCAGGAATTGCCTTTTGATTTATGAAAGGAATGATAAATTGGCTCCTCCGGGTTCTGCAGCTTAATCTGGAGGTTTGCCTGCRAAGTGTGGTCCAGAACTGATCCATCTGAGCACCCAACTTTAACCAAGTCTTTCACTCTGATGAGCCTTTCATAAAATATTYCCTTTGTGTTCTTGTTGGGTTCTGTGATTTCTGCTTCTGTATCTTGTTTTAGTAAGTGATATCAGGGAATGTTGGCAGGAAAAAAAAAAACTAAAGTGTTCTTTTGTGCAGAGTCCTTGGGAAGGAAAAATAAAAAGCACTGTTCATGTAAGATGTCAAAAAACTGAAACATAAAAGTGATTAATTTAATAGGGATAAATAATAATGATATAAATATAATAATGATATAAATATATCCCTAATATAAAAGAGATAAATTAGCAAGGAATACTTTGCTTCTTTGGGGAAAGAGAAAAATCAAACAAGGCCCGAAAGAATTCTGCAGTGAAAGTGGGAAGTGATTTTTAAAAAGCGACTGGATTGAACTTACAACTCTAGCAATAACTATAATGAAATCTGGAGTACAGCTGTAATTGTTCTTCATTAATTAAAGAAGTTATTTTATAAATGGAGCAGAAAATAATTTCTTGGTGCTTAAGCTGAGATTGAAGCCAAATTCAGAGTTGGAATGAAGGATACCTTTTATTAACACATCATATTTTAAGTTGTGGGATAAACTGTGCTGAAGGAAATGAATCCATGCTGCAGAACCAAGGACCTGGGGCAAGAGCAGAAAAGTGCCAGAAGAAAACAGTTCCCATTCCAAAGAGACGGGAAAAATTCAAAGGATCAAAACCCACAACTTTGGCACCAGGGTAGGGAGCTGAGTACTGAAAGAGTGAAGTCAACAAATAAACCCCTCCCAAAAGGAGAACTTCAGAAATTCCCTGAAAGCAAAGAGGAATGGCATTGCTGAAAGAGCTATTCCATGTTTTGTCACCATTCCATGATTTCATTGCAGTGTGCTGATTTTGTGAGCCTAGAAAGCAGTAAAATATCAAACACCAGCATTTCAGTAGAAAATAAAAAGCCAAMCCAAAGTTTTCATCAAGTCATTTCTGGATAAAAATCTAACAAGCAAACCTTGCTCTTGGAAAACTGTTGGAGGTTTTTGTTTGTGTTTTGTTGTGTTTTTTTTTTTCTTTT